TTCACAACCTGTTGCCACCCTCACACCGAAGAATTTCTTCCTAACATCTAATCTAAATCTACTCTCTTTCAGTTGGAAGCCATTCCCCCTTATCCTGTCATTACATGCCCTGAAAAAAAGTCTCTTTCCATCTTTCTTGGAAGGCCACAATTAGGTCACTGTGAAGCCTTCTCTTATCCGGGCTGAACAATCCCAACTCTCCCAGCCTTTCCACCCAGCAGAGCTGCTCCATCCCTCTGATCATCTTGGTGCTTCTTCTGGGCTCTCTCCAGCAGCTCCCTGTGCTCCCTGTGCTGTTCCCAGGGCTGGAGGCAGCTCTGCAGGGGGGTCTCACCTGAGCGGGCAGAGGGGCAGAATCCCCCCCTTCCCAGCTGCCCACACTGCTTGTGATGCAGCCCAGACATGGTTGGTCTTGGGGCTGCCAGAACACATGGCCCTGGCATGTCCAGCCTCTCATTCACCAACACCCCCAAGTCCATCTTGGCAGGGCTGCTCTCAATCTGTTCATCCCTCAGCCTGCATTAAATCCTGGGGGTTGCCCTGATCCAGGTGAAGGACCTTGCACTTGGATGAGGTCGGATAGAGGAGAGGGTGCTGTATATGTGGACTTGAAGACCTATGAGAGAAAGAAAACATGTTGGGGTGTGGAGATTTCTGTAGGAGAAAGGGTCCCATGCTCCAGATGGAGACAAACACGCCCTCTGAAATCTTGCTGGGGTGGAGGGGACCTTGCTCTGTAGAAGACGTTGCAAAATAGGGACCTCAGCACCCAACGGGGTGACAGCCTCTCACAAATCACTGTCTCGAAAAGACTTTTGAAATCAGCTCAGCCAGGCTCCCCCAATGATCTCATGCCTTCAACAGCAACTAAGGATGATGTTGTGCTTGTTTTTTAACGGATCTTTGACTAAAGACAGCTGGCTCTTCAACATCTTACACCTTCAGCTGCAGCCAAAGAGATCTGTCATCATTCAGAAAACTCACTGCACAGTGATCAGACACCCCTACCCACAGATTCTGTACCCAAAACAAAGAGATGGAGGGTGATAAACATTTCCACCTACACCCCCAGCCAACTGAGTGTTCAGCCACAAAATTAATTTTGCATGAGCTCTGTACTGGGTACATGTGCTTGGTCCTTAAACAAGTCCCAGAAGTGTCCATGCCCTCACTTTGGCACAGGACACAGTACAGTGCCCTGGCAGTGTCGCTGGAATAGCTCTCTTTGGTGGCATATTTCTTGTTCCACGGGGCAGCTGTTTTGGTCGTGGCCTTCGAAGGCAAACTGCCTTGGCAGACACAGAACAGAGCCAAACCTTGTGGCCTCTGCTGCCCTTTGATTGTTTGCTCTTCTGTCATTTACCAGCAACATTTCACTGGATTAGGCCCAAAATATGAAAAAGCTGATTGCAAGACAACCAGAGACAGAGAAGACCATTTCCCAGTCAGGTCCAGGAAGAACAAAATCTCCCCTCTCCCAGGGCTACCAAATTCTTCGAATTAACAGCTTGTGCACCGCAGGTACAACTGGGTTCCATTCAGTACCAGTGTGCAATTAGCAGTAAAGAGCAACCAGTCTACTTAAAACTGATTAAAGTATTGATTATGCTAACAGAGGGAACACAGAGAGTAGGCAAAGCCAACTCAGAACAGAAGTCTTTGTGTCCATCTGCCCTTATCATTGTGTAACAACAGCACAGGTCAGCCTGACTCTTTCAGAAGCAGAGCAGAGAATCGCTTTGATCTGAGCAATCCCCTAATAGCTTCCTCTTTGGGAAGGAGAGGATCCCTTTTTAGCCACACAGAGTTCCTATGCTCGGATCAGCTCCAGCACTTCCTCTGCATCTTCAGACGTCTTCTCCCTTCCTGCTTGTTTTCTCGGCAGTCCTGATTTAACATCTCCACACAGTAACTGTCCCTCTGACTGAGTTCAGATACCTTGTCCAGAGCAGTTGCATTTTTATGATGCTCTGTGTTCTGTAAACACTGGTGGAAAGTTGTGTTACAGGGACAAGCACTAATTCACTGTCAAGTGGCTTTAAAGCACCACTGTACCATCAACTAAATTAATGCAGAGTCGGATCAAAGTCAAGATATACCTGAAAATTTATACGTGGACAATTGACTTTATTTTTAAAAAAAAAAAAAAGAAGACCTATTCACGCAGCCTGATATTTAAAGGTTTTTTTATTATTTACTCAAAGAATACATATTTGGAATCACAAAAAGAGAGGGGGAAAAAACGATTCACCAAACATTGGAGAATACAAGGTGTACAGACACTTAAAACTTGTGTCTATTTCTGGCACTCCATTTCTTTTCTGTATGTGGTGCATAAAACTGAAATGTGCATATTGACTGTGGCACTGGTTGCATACAGATGACTTCCCCTCCGAGGAACACTTTGGATACAGTTACATTTGGCTCTCTGGGAGGACTTTTTGAGATCTTCTTTCCCAAGCAGCTGTTCCCACTGCTCCTTTAAGGCCCGTTCCTGCCATCCTTCAGAAACGCAGAGGAACTTCTCACCTGTACCCAGCCTTATCAGATACCTAAGCAAATAAAGCAGCAGAGGAGACTAGAGAAGGCAGAAGCCTCACAACAAGCTGTTGCACGAGAGCACGAGCCCTGCTGTGATGGTGAGATGGGAGGACAGAAAGGTCGCACACACAGCATCTCATATGCAGCACATGAGGAGTTATTACAAGACTTCTCTAGGTCTATGGAAAACAGGACAAGAAGAACTTTTACAAACAGTATGAAAAAAAAAAGACACGTTTTCTCTGAAACACTTAAAGGCTATGCTATATCTCCTATCCTCTGAAAACTATACACTTCTTTGACTGGAGCTGCTTTAGCCAGAAGTGTGGTAACGTATCTTAGCAACAGCAGCAAGGGGGAAGACTTACTGTACTGTAAAAGAATTAAAACAAAATGCATATAGCTGCTGACTGTTATAAATACACCCCTACCACTCTGAGGGGGTGTTCCATTATACTCCTGATTACTTTTCACATTCCCTTTTCCAAAGGGGCGGGGGCATTTCTCCGGTTTTCAGCTCACCCATGAAGAGCCCCGAGCATTTTAACTCCCTTTCAGCTTCAGCTCCGACTAGACAGGCCCTACAGTGTAACCTGTCACCATCCCAGCCACATTAGGAAAAGCCATTACTGTAGCACCCCGGAGGTAACCTCTCTGTGTGAGCTGTGCTGCCACTCCCTCAGGTGTTCAGCAGCCATCAGCCCGCAGCAGCTTTTCCCTGCTCTGTCTGGAGCAGGTGAGACCAGACACATCAGGGCTGCAATATTTCACATTCCTACTTGTCAGGCAAACAGAAAGCTTTGTGCAGCAGGGGAACTTCACACAATTTTACCTTTTACTAGGGTGTGTGGTTTCCGCACAGGTACAATAACCTCTTTGAGAGCAAGCTTCATCTATGCCCTCTCCTCCAGTCCCCAGCCAGGCCAAGGTCCTTGCGGGCTTCCCACCTCCCCTGCAGTGCTTTCCTCCCCGTGGAGAGTTCCACCAGCCAGGACAGGGACCATATCCCCCTCCTGCCCGGGGGAAAGCATCCAACTGCACAAGAAGACAAGAAGCACTGATCTGATGTAAGGGAGAACGTACAAAGTCAGTGCAAGAGCTCCAGATTTTAAATGACACAGACAGAGCACTGAAAACATGAGTGAAAAAAAAATGTAACACCTTTTTTTTTATTTTCTTCAGCAAGTGAAGGTGGGCTCCCATTTTCTTTTTAAGGGTTATCCTTTGCAATCAACTCTGACAATGGCTACGATTAACATCCTCACCTGAGTATCCTTCCAGCAAATAGTTTGCTCAGCCTTCCTGGGAATGAACACTACCACTGTCTAGCTCCTAGTGAAACTTCATTTAACACCCGTGAAACACCTGGAAATCTTGTGGATGATTACTCCAGCTCAAGGAAGGGAGGGAGGGAGCTCTTTCTGTTTACTGTGGCAAGGGAGGGATCTTAGTCCACGCAGCTTGGCTCAGATTTAGACACAAGGAGTGACCAGGTGGTTGCCTACGGCAGCAAATTGATCAGCGGACAGCGAGAGTACACACGACTAAGGCTGAGTAATTTTCAACTTTATCTACTACAGAGGATGGGGGGAAGGGTCAGAAACAGCCACAAAGTGACTCTGCTGAGACTTGCCCGGTGTTATATTACAAGGCTTTGGGACTATCTGCTCCATCCAGCGATCTATCTGGCGCTGTCATTACTCCAGAGATGTAGAGACTAATTCCATCCTAAGTGTTCCCATCCCTCAAAAGGCCGCACTTGACTGCCGTGATTAACTCCGTGCATGATGAAGACATTCAAAAAGCCTCGCAGGCTTTCTCCCAGGCAGACGCCTTGCACGACCTCGCTCCTGCCAGCGCCAGGAGATGAATTTCCACACGCACATCCATCCGCTCGCCCGCTCCTCGCACACGGACACCCGTGCGGGAGGCGCGCCCGCATCCCCAGGTGACCCCGCATTCCCACCTCCGCCTCCTCCTGCCCGAGCACAGCCTCTGCTCCCGCGGGGTGGCCAGCCTAGCCCTGCGAGGTTGCCGGAGCCCCAGCGGGGATCCCCGCTCCGCCGCTCTCCCTTTAGGGCTTTCGGAAACTTTTCTCCCCTCCGCGCCATCACGCTCCGATAGCGGAGCTGCGGGCTGGGCTGGGTTAGGCTGAGTCGAGCCGTGCCCAGCCGGGAAGTTTCTCCCGAGGGCGCTGGGTCGGAGCAACTTTCCCGCACGGCCCCCGGGCAGCAGGAGCGCTCGGAGCTTTGGGGACCGTGCGGGAGGAACGCGAGGAGGAGCTCGCTTCGGGGGAGGGGGAGATGGAGCCGGGGCGTGGGTAAGCCGCTCCCTTCTCCTTCCTCCTCCTCCTCCTCCTCCTCCTCCTCCCCTCTGCTGCTCCCGTCTGGCAGCCAGGCGGCCGCTGCCTCCGGCCGGAGCCGCCGCACTTGGGAAGCGGCCCCCGCGCTGCCGCCGGGATGGGGACGCCGCTGGCGGCTCCCGGATTCCTGCTCCTGCTGGCCGGCACCACGGGGCTGTGCCGGGCTCTCTTCTCGCTGCCGCTCCGCGTGTCCCGTCCCGCCGCCCCCGGCGGGTCCCCGCCCGCCCCGGTGGTGCTGCGGCCGGGGGGCAGCGCCCCGCAGCAGGACCCCGCCGGGGCCGCGGACGGCTTGGCCCTGGCCTCGGATCCCGGGGACACCCTCAACTTTTTGGCCATGGTGGAGAACCTGCAGGGCGACTCCGGCCGCGGCTACTACCTGGAGATGCTGATCGGCACCCCGCCGCAGGCGGTAGGAGCGGGATGGGGGATGCGAGCTGGGGGAAGGGTGGGAGGGTGGGGGCAAACTTCTCCTGGGTGGGAGCGAATCTGCGGCCCCCGCCCTCCCCAGCCTGGCCCAAACGCAACTTTCTCCCGGTGTTTAGTGCTGGCACCTCCCTCCCTCCTTCCCCTTTTCCCTCCCCCCCTTCCCCAGGGATGGTGCCGGTGCTCGGCGCGGGGGAGCGGAGGCGGCAGAAGGGAGTTTCCACGGGCCGGGAAAGAGGGATGGAAGGAGGGAGGCGCATCATCCCCCCGCCCTCCCGAACCCCGGCTGCCCAGCCCTGTCCTGCCCCGACCCGGTGACTGCTCGGGAAATCCCGCCGACCTGCTCCCCGTTTTTAGGCCGTGTCACGGCGTTTGAATCCGCAGCGAGTTGCTCTGTCAGTTCGAAATGACAGTGGTTTTGGAGACGGAGGGTGCTTTTTATATTCATTGCTTTTTCTGAGCTGCTTTGCATCGTGATTGGGCGCTTTGGTGGATCTTCCCGGTGCTCCCGGGAGAATCGCTCGAAATCTTCCTGCTGAACAAAGTGATGGCTGGGCAAAACCAGCCCCTTCTGTCGAGAATCCACGTGTTACTCATTAACAGCGTAAAGAACGATTGTGTTCTGAATATTGTTTTCAAACAGACCGTGCCGCTCTGAATCTCCCCCGTCTGCATCCACCAGCGTGGCTGAAGTGTTGTGTTTTTGGGGTTTTTTATTTGCCATGTAGTTGCTCTTTCATCTGTGTCATGAGATCCCAGGAGGAGCGGTGCTGGGCTGCTGGTGGGGATGACTAGTCAGCTGAGTGGGGATTAATTTCCTGAGAGTCCTCGGGGCTTTTCCTCAGAACTTCGTGTTTGCTTCAGGAGTTTAGGTCCTTCTGTTCCCAGTGTACACACACACACACAAAAAATCTTTATTCTTCTGCTTAACTGCTCTACGTAATAAAAAGCCAATGAATGCCAAAATGCCCAGCCAACAGGAAGTGTTCAGCTGTCGTTACATTTTTGGACGTCTGTGAACTCTTTCTTTTTTGCACTTCTAATGTGAGAGGTTTGGCCACATCATCGCTCTTATCGAAGTGTACCACACTAGGATCAATGCGTGTATTGAGAAAGGCTGGCGTGATCAATAAATGGAGTTTAAAAAAAAAACAAACCCTGACTAGCTCTGGCATATCAAGGTGTGGCCCCACAGCCACAGAGGCCATGAAATAATTTTTCCTCCGTGTTGAGCGCTGCATATTTGACTAGTTCTGTTCCTGTGGCTTTGTGAGTGCTTTATTACTCCAGGGAACATTCAAACATTCAATATTGGTTTCTGCCAGGATCAAGATACTGAAGTTGATTGGACTAATAATCTAATTCAGTATGTCTTAAATGAAAAAAAATAATTTCAGGTAGAAAAAGTGCCTATCAAGCGTATCATCTCCTTATGTGTCTAGGGGGATTCTGAAACTGGAAGAAATGGAGAAGGAAAAATGTGCCACGCTTTTAATAATATGACTGGAGGTCTAAGAGGGAGAAATGTGCTGCCCTCAGTACACCCAGAGGCTTCACTTACGCTTAACAGCTCCTATTACTTGTATTACAGGTGATGTAAGATTTCAGCTAAACTTCCCTCTGATTTCTTATTTCTTTTTCCACCTGAAAAAAAAAAAAAAAGGCGCTTTGAATGTGATTGCAAAGCTTTTACTGTTTTGAACTAGTTCTGATTTCTTGCAGAGTTAATTATTTAAAAGACAGCTACTGGTGTTTAGCACATGTGAGGTTTTGTTCACGAGTAGGCCCACCGAGGTTGTAAGCGAGGTTATAAATGCGCTTGTGCTTCCAAAATCAGATCTTGGTGTGTAGTGACTCAGTAGAGTGCAGTTAAAATTTATTCTCTACTTTTGATGGGGAAGAATTTGTTATCTCGCTCCCTGCCTGAAACTGGAAGGCTTAAAGATCACAAATGTACTTGTTGGGTTTTTTTTCCTGCTTTGCAATGAATAGTATAAAGCTACAAAGCTGCTACTGGTGCTGCTTGAATCCTTCGCATGCTGATGCTAAAAGCAAGTGTCTGGGTACTGCCAAGCGTTGGGATTGTGTTAAGCTCCTTGTGCAGCGAGTTTCCGGAGTTGGAGTGGGCTGTGCATGATCATGTGGAAAAGGAGAGACGTCTCTTACTGATTTAAATGCTCCTCCCAACCTGACTTCGCTTCACGTCAGAAGCTGCAGCGTAAAGTGATGCTTGGACACATTCCAGTGCCTGAAGGGAGCCTACAAGAAAGATGGAGAGGGACTTCTTAACAAGACCATGGAGTGACAGGACACGGGGGAATGGCTTCAAACTGAAAGAGAGTAGGGTTAGATTAGATATTAGGAAGAAGTTCTGTGCTGTGAGGGTGGTGAGGCCCTAGCACAGGTTGCCCCATGAAGTTGTGGTTGCCCCTGGATTCCTGGAAGTGTCCAAGGCCAGGTTGGATGGGGCTCTGAGCAACCTGGGCTAGTGGAAGGTGTCCCTGCCCATGGCAGGGGGGTTGGAACCGGATGTTCTTTAAGATTCCTTCCAACTCAGGCCATTCTATGATTCCCTTATTCTTGCATCCCTCCAATATGTGGGGAATTCCCAAGCTACCTCCCTTCCTCACCCAGGCCTGTCCTGGCACTGCCAAACCCACAGGGCAGGTAATGCTCTCCTGACGTTTTTCCAAGGAGGAAGGAGGAGACTGGCAGAGAAGAGCAGCAGAGCAGCACAGCTGTTGGAGCAGAAGGGTGGACGGCAGAGCTGCCCTGGATGGCCTTGCAGAGAGGGGATGGGTAAATGCACACAGGGCAGTCAGTAGTGGGCCACGACCAACTAGCAGGCTGTGAGAAGAGGCACCAGACGTAATGTCGTGGTTACAACAGCGTTGGCACCTGCGTGTGTGCGTCGAGCGTCAGGAGCTGCTGTGCCAGGATGGGGAACGAGCATTTGTGAACGACTTCAGCACTACTGAGCTCGCTTCAGCTGCATTTTTAGAAATTTCTCCTTTTCTTTTTTTTTTTTTTTTTAATTTCTGTTCTAGGAAGGAAGCTACTATGACAGAATTTCGTTTTTCAGGTCATTTAAGGCACGCTTTTTGGCTTTGGTTCCAATCCTGATTTGTCATATAGCAGATAAACACAGCGCAGAACTGCGATTCACAATGGCAGTTCTGAAACACTTGTTCTGACGGTACAAAAATAGAGCAGCTGTGTGAAGTCAAATTTATTTTATTTCCGAGACAGGAAACTTCAGTGCAGTCAATCCAGTTTTGCAAAGTGTTTGCAGCCAAAGTGTTTCTGATCATTTACAGTTTTACAACACAGTATCCTTCCTAATCCTATCAGATCTCCAGACTAGCTACCAGGTGGTATCAAATGTCATTACTCCCACTAATTCCTATTCATTCACATGTAGACCTACTTAAGAATTATGTGAAAGGTGAAAAAGGTGTACTGTATTGAAGAATGTGATGTATTTGTCCCTTATTTCATGGATGTATTACTATATGTCCTACTTCTGACGGATTATGTGCTTTATACCTCTCTGTACAGGTGCACTTCTTCCAATTCCAGATTTAAATAAGAGGTGGCAAGAGCCCAATATGAATTGTGTGCACTGTTCTTAGTTATTTCTTTAGATAATCTGATGGAATTCCTTTGCTCTATCTTTTATTATTTTGCCTACCCTGAGATGATAAGCGCTGTGAGAAACTGAATCAAAGATCATTTAGGGTTTTTTGCTATCTTCACTGCAGTTCTCTTCATATTAATTTTGTTTCTCCCACGAGCCTTTGACCAAAAGAATAGTCAAACCCTTAAAAAAACCTGTGTTCTTCACAGCTTTCTTGAAGTCCATCTGGACTGCATTAAATGTTTGCAGGGAAAGCACCATTGCCTCATCTTGCCTCTTGTGCTAGTCCTCATGGTACTGAGTAGTGGTAGTCCTGCTGATCCCACTGCATTTCCCAATTGTGTTTTTACTGAGACCAGGTGAATGTTATTCCTGCAGCTTCATTGTGAGGAGAGGCCGGGCTTGTGCCTCCTGAGAGCTGAGATCACACAGCTCTGGTCTGATTAGCGGGTACTGAAACCACAGCAGGATCCGAGTTGTGCTCTGAATGCCACAGCTCCCGTTTTTTCAGTGTTAGTTTTTTTTCATTCTATGCATGGAGAGGGTTTATCTGCTGGTTTTTTTTTTTTTTCCTGATGGCAGTGTGTTCTGTGCAGGGGGTGAGCAAAAACCTGTTCTGTAAACTTGCTCTGAAGTTTTAAGGTCAGAGTGGGTGCTGGGTCTAACAGCCTTCACTGCAAAACACAAACTCCACTTCCCATATAATTGGTGGGAGGTTATCTTTCCTTCGGTTTCTTCCAGCTATTAAAGAAAAGAAGGGTAAGGAAGGATATGTATTAAATACCTCAAGTGTGTCAGGACCCTTAGAATTTATGGCTTCGTGTTTTGAAGGTGATGAACACACACATTAGCAAGTTCTCAACCTGCAGCCATTCCTCCTTAATTGGTGATGGCCCTTATTCCCCGAGTGTTGGAAGGAATGAAGATTGTGAGGGAAGATTCAACTGCTCTTGTAATTTCACTGCTTCACTAGTCGTGCTGTATTAGGTGATAAGGGCCTGATTTCTGGAGCTGTGCTATTCCCCAAGAAGCTAAGCTCTGCTCTCTTAATTTTGCTGAAAAGGGGTTACTGTCTTTCCAGACACGAGAAGTTTGAAAAACGTGATGTCTCTCCATTCAAATATCAGAAGGCAAGTTCCACCTCAAGCCTCTTTTTCTGTCTTTTTGTTTTGCTTTAGATTTTTTTTAATAATTACTTGGGTCTTTTATGTTTATTTTTGAATTCTTTATGAAAGCTGAAGAGTTGAGAGGCAAAGATGAGTGCTGTGGTGCACTGGAGTATTTTGAGGTGGCAGGGTCAAAATCCCTCCAGGTCCACCTAATGGAAGTACTATTGAAAGGCAAAATAT